TAATTATATACAATGTGTTTGGACTGCCAGTAACAAAAATATTCTTACTTTAAAAAAAATAAAAATACATACTAAAAATATTTACAATGGTTTAATTAACATCTCATTATTTTCACTTCTTGCAATATTTTTTTGCGAAGAGGTCCAGCGTCTTTGTTTTGACGATGTTTCCTTTTTTCCACGGTGGTAACTGGAACCTGTCTTCGAACAATTTTGGTAGCGTTGGGTCCAAACACTCCTCCGGGTCCATTTCTGGTTACGGAAACCAAGAGCCCTGAATTAAGCATCTCTTCTCGGCGTCTTCGTTTCTCCAACACCCTCTGGTCCTTGATGGTCTTCCTCAAAACAGGATCTCCCTGGGCGATGTGTTTCCACCGGTCGTTGGAGCTGACAGCAGCTAGAAGTGAAGCAGGGTCCAAACACCTGAAACAAACACAATATTAGTAAAAAATTACAATAAAAATAAAAATATGACTTACCTCAAGATGACGGCCCAAAGCTCCACGGGTAAATTCGGCAAAGCAAATTCAACGTCGGGGACGAAAGGTAAAATTTTGTACATCTTGGAAAACTTTATCGTGCAAGCAGAGGATAAACTGAATGGGTGGCGGCACGTTGCGGTAAATATACACGATACGCACTCCCCCTCCACTCGACTAACGATGGAAAGGGAAGCGGAGGAGTGGGGACAGATCCCAAAACTGAATTATCGAAAAATTGAAGAAACATTGAAGAATAGGAAAACTGAAGAATCGAAAACCTGAAAAATTACGAAATTGAACGAAAAATCCAAAAATTGAAAAATTAAAAAATTGAGAAATCGAAAAGTCGAAAAACCAACGAAGAGTAAACTTAAAAAATTGAATAATTGAAAAATCAAAAAATTGAAGAACTGAAGAACTGAAAAATTGAAACTTTGGGAAGTCGGGAAATTTGAAAATAAAAAAGAAATTCATTGAGAAATAATTGGAAAACTAAAAATTCAGGAATGTCAAAATTTGACAAATTCAAATATAAAATATCAAAATACCTAAAACTTAAAAATCGAAAAGTCAAAATGAAAAACCGAGAAATCGAAAATCCAAAAATTAAAAAAATAGAAAAATTGAAGAATAGAGACTTCAAAGAACTGAAAAATCGAAACATTGAGAAATCGAAAAATGGGGAATTTAAATATTAAAAAATCGAAAATTCAAAAATGTAAAATTTAAGAAGTCGAAAAATCTAATTATTGAGAAATCGAAGTTGACTAAAATTGAAAAATCGGAAAATTTTAAATGAAAAGAGAACGATAAATTGAAAAATTGAAAAACTGAAAAATTTAAAAAATGAAAAATCTATTCATATTTCAATTGTGGACTTTTTCAATTTTATCAATTGTTCAAATTTCGATTTTTTTTATTTTTCGATTTCTCAATTTTCCGATGTTTCAGTGATTCGACTTCTCAATTTTTGTCCTCTTCAATTTTACGATTTTTTAAAATTTCAAATTTTGACGATTCAAAATTTTCAGTTTCCGATTTCCGAACTAACCTCATTTTTTGTTTTCCCATTTCTCGACTTCCCACAGTTTCGATTTTTTCAATTCTTCAATTTTTTCATTTTCAGATTTTCTTATTTTTCAGTTTTTCGATTTTTTAAGCTAAGCTTTTTCGACATTGTTTTTTTAGTTTTTCGATTTCCGACTTTTCCACTTTTTTAATTTCCCAATTTTTTGGATATTTTTCTTCAGTATTTCTATTTTTCAATTTTTCAAATTTTGACGTTGCTAAATTTTCTCAATTGATCTACATTTGATTTTCCTATTTCTCGACTTCTCAAAATTTCGATTTTTCAGTTCTTCAATTCTTCAATTTTTCGATTTTTCGACTTCGCTTTTTTGGTTTCTCGATTTCTCAATTTTCCAATTTCTCAATTTTTGGATATTTCTTTCTGCTTTGTGCTTTCCCAATATTTCGATTCTTCGACTTTTAGATTTTTCAATTTTCCGAGTTTTTAAATTTTCGATTTTTCAATTTTTTGAATATTCGATTTCTCGAGATTTGGATCTATCGATTTATCAATTTTTCCATTTTTAACTGTTCGATTTTAAAGACTCTTGATCTTGATATTCCTTGTGGTATTTTTCCTTGAGTAAGACACATGTTAAAGATGTCATCTAGTTTTTCTCTGGCTTCATTTCCACTTATTATTTCTGTTAGTAGTTCGTATTTACCGGGTGGTTTGTGATTTTTCATTTACTTCAGCCCCTATTGCACTTCTTCACTTTTTATTTATAATTAAGTTTTTTTTTAACTCCTGCAAAAGTTGTCTCCGTTCGACTTCTGTATTTCTATAGCAGTTTGAGTTAATATTTGTCCTTTTCCATATCTTTTCTTATGCGTTCTTAAGTAACGAGTTTAATTTTTAGCTTAATTAAAGACAACACAAAATTAATTGAATTAATTATTTTATTAAATTAATTATGTACAATATGTTTGGACTGCCAGAAACAAAAATATTCTTACTTTAAATAAAATAAAAATACAAAAAATATTTACAATGGTTTTATTAACATCTTATTATTTTCACTTCTTGAATTATTTTTTTGCGAAGAGGTCCAGCGTCTTTGTTTTGACGACGTTTCCTTTTTTCCACGGTGGTAACTGGTCCTCGTGCTGGAACCTGTCTTCGAACAATTTTGGTACCGTTGGGTCCAAACACTCCTCCGGGTCCATTTCTGGTTACGGAAATCAGGAGCCCTGGATTAAGCATCTCCTCTCGGCGTCTTCGTTTCTCCAACACCCTCTGGTCCTTGATGGTCTTCCTCAAAACGGGATCTCCCTGGGCGATGTGTTTCCACAGGTCGTTGGAGCTGACAGCAGTTAGAAGTGAAGAAGGGTCCAAACACCTGAAACAAACACAATATTAGTAAAATATTACAACAAAAATAAAAATATGACTTACCTCAAGATGACCGCCCAAAGCTCCACGGGTAAATTCGGCAAAGCAAATTCAACGTCGGGGACAAAAGGTAAAATTTTGTACATCTTGGAAAATTTTATCGTGCGAGCATAGGATAAACTGAATGGGTGGCGGCACGTCGCGGTATATATACCCGATACGCGCTCCCCCTCCACTCGACTAACGATGGAAAATGAAGCGGAGGAGTGGGGACAGATCCCAAAACTGAATTATCGAAAAATTGAAGAAACATTGAAGAATAGGAAAACTGAAGAATCGAAAACCTGAAAAATTACGAAATTGAACGAAAAATCCAAAAATTGAAAAATTAAAAAATTGAGAAATCGAAAAGTCGAAAATGCAACGTCGAAAAATTGTAAACTAAAAAAATTGAATAATTGAAAAATCAAAAAATTGAAGAACTGAAGAACTGAAAAATTGAAACTTTGGGAAGTCGGGAAATTTGAAAATAAAAAATAAATTCATTGAGAAATAATTGGAAAACTAAAAATTCGGGAATGTCAAAATTTGAAAAATTAAAATATAAAATATCAAAATACCTAAAACTTAAAAATCAAAATGAAAAACCGAAAAATCGAAAATCCAAAATTTAAAAAATCGAAAAATTGAAGAATAGAGATTTCAAAGAACAGGAAAATCGAAAAATCGAGAAATCGAAAAATGGAGAATTTAAACATTAAAAAATCGAAAATTCAAAAATGTAAAATTTAAGAAACCGAAAAATCTAATAATTGAGAAATCGAAGTAGACTAAAATCGAAAAATTGGAAAATTTTAAATGAAAAGAGAACGATAAATTGAAAAATTGAAAAATTGAAAAAATTAAAAATCTATTCATATTTCAATTGTGGCCTTTTTCAATTTTATCAATTGTTCAAATTTCGATTTTTTTTATTTTTCGATTTCTCAATTTTCCGATGTTTCAGTGATCCGATTTCTCAATTTTTGTCCTCTTCAATTTTACGATTTTTTAAAATTTCAAATTTTGACGATTCAACATTTTCAGTTTCCGATTTTCGAACTAACCTCTTTTTTTGTTTTCCCATTTCTCGACTTCCCACAGTTTCGATTTTTTCAATTCTTCAATTTTTTCATTTTCAGATTTTCTTATTTTTCGGTTTTTCGATTTTTTAAGCTAAGCACTTTAGACTTTGTTTTTTTAGTTTTTCGATTTCCGACTTTTCCAATTTTTTAATTTCTCAATTTTTTGGATATTTTTCTTCAGTATTTCTCTTTTTCAATTTTACAAATTTTAACGTTGCTAAATTTTCTCAATTAATCTACTTTTGATTTTCCTATTTCTCGACTTCTCAAAATTTCGATTTTTCAATTCTTCAATTCTTCAATTTTTCGATTTTTCGACTTCGCTTTTTTGGTTTTCGACTTCTCAATTTTCCAATTTTGTTTTAATTTCTCAATTTTTGGATATTTCTTTCAGCTTTGTGATTTCCCAATATTTCGATTCTTCGACTTTTAAATTTTTCAATTTTCCGAGTTTTTAAACTTTCGATTTTTCAATTTTTTGAATATTCGATTTGTCGAGATTCGGATGTCCCGATTTATCAATTTTTCCATTTTTAACTGTTCGATTTTAAAGACTCTTGATCTTAATATTTCTTGTGGTATTTTTCCTTGACTAAGACACATGTTAAAGATGTCATCTAGTTATTCTCTGGCTTCATTTCCAGTTATTATTTCTGTTAGTGGTTCGTATTTACCGGGTGGTTTGTGATTTTTCATTTACTTCAGCCCCTACTGCACTTCTTCACTTTTTATTTATAACTAAGATTTTTTTTAACTCCTGCAAAAGCTTGTCTCCGTTTCACTTCTGTATTTCTATAGCAGTTTGAGTTAATATTTGTCCTTTTCCATATCTTTTCTTATGCTTTCTTAAGTAACGAGTTTAATTTTTAACTTAATTAAAGACAACACAAAATTAATTGAATTAATTATATACAATATGCTTGGAATGCCAGTAACAAAAATATTCTTACTTTAAATAAAATAAAAATACAAAAAATATTTACAATGGTTTTATTAACATCTCATTATTTTCACTTCTTGAATTATTTTTTTACGAAAAGGTCCAGCGTCTTTGTTTTGACATTTCCTTTTTTCCACGGTGGTAACTGGTCCTCGTGCTAGAACCTGTCTTCGAACAATTTTGGTACCGTTGGGTCCAAACACTCCTCCGGGTCCATTTCTGGTTACGGAAATCAGGAGCCCTGGATTAAGCATCTCCTCTCGGCGTCTTCGTTTCTCCAACACCCTCTGGTCCTTGATGGTCGTCCTCAAAATAGGATCTCCCTGGGCGATGTGTTTCCACAGGTCGTTGGATCTGGCAGCAGCTAGAAGTGAAGTAGGGTCCAAACACCTGAAACAAGCACAATATTAGTAAAAATTTACAACAAAAATAAAAATATGACTTACCTCAAAATGATGGCCCAAAGCTCCACGGGTAAATTCGACAAAGCAAATTCAACGTCGGGGACGAAAGGTAAAATTTTATACATCTTGGAAAATTTTATCGTGCAAGCAGAGGATAAACTGAATGGGTGGCGGCACGTTGCGGTATATATACCCGATAGGCGCTCCCCCTCTACTCGACTAACGATGGAAAGGGAAGCGGAGGAGTGGGGACAGAGTGCGGCCGCGGTCAGTTTGAACTATGTTATATTTTTGATTTTTTCAATTGTCTTGTTTTGTGTAAGATTCGATTTAGAGATTTTTTTGCTGATAACGCAGTAAAGAAATCCATCTGGCGAATGACAAATTTTATGTTTTCTCGACGTTTCTCCATTTTATAACACAATTTTTGGTTTCTTTATTACCTTTCTTTTTTTGTTGTTTCTTTCGATTTATAATTCTTTATTTATTGAATTTTTCAAATTTTCAAGCTTTCGTTTTTCAATTCCATGATTTTCCATATTTAAAATTTTTCAATTTGCAGTTTTTGGAGTTCCAGTCTTCCAATTTTTCAGTTTCTTTAATTTTCAATATTTTGATTTTACAATATATATTTCTCTTTTTAGTATTTTTCACTTTTTCGAATTATAAGTTTTTCAATTTTTAATCTTTCGATTTTTCAAATTTTCGTTTCTTCAAATTTTCATGTTTGAATTTCACTTTTGACATTTTTCAAGTTTTCATTACAAACTTTTTCGTTTTTTATTTTTGAATTTTCAATTTTTCGTTTCCCCAATTTTTCAAGTTCTCGATTTTTATTTTTCAGTGTGACGAATTTTTAATTTTTATTTTCTCGATTTATATCACAATTATCCGTTTCTTCATTTCCTTTATTTTCTGTGTTTTTCTTTCGATTTTACAATTTTTCATTTGTTCAATTTTTCAAATTTTCATTCTTTGAATTTTCAGTTCGTCCATTTTTCAATTTTTAAATTTTTCACTTTGCAGTTTTTGGATTTTCAGTCTTCCGATTTTCCAAATTTCTTTAATTTTAAATATTTCTATTTCATAATACATATTTCTTTTCTTTTTTTATTTTTCACTTTTCCGATTCTTAAAATTTTTCAAGTTTTCATTTTGTAATTTTCGTTTTTTATTTTTGATTTTTCAATTTTTCTCGACTCGTTCCTTCAATTTTTCGGTTTACATCAGTTTTTCAATTTGGCAATTTTTCAATATTACAGGTTTTCATTTTTCGAATTTTCAGGTTCTCAATTTTTCATTTTTCCCTTTTCCAATTTTTTGTTTCCGATTTTTATTTTTCATTTTCCCAATTTTTTAATTTTCACTTTTTCGATTTTGTATCACAACTTTCCTTTTTTTGATTTTTTCCTTTATTAAATTTTTCAAATTTTCAGGTTTTTAACAATTTTTCTTCAAATTTCCAAGTTTGAGTTTCACTTTGAAAATTTTTAACTTTTTCGTTTTTTTATTTTTGATTTTTCAAATTTACATTTTGTCGACTTCCAAATTTTCCAATTTTTCAATATTACAGGTTCTCATTTTTCCATTTTTCACATTCTCGATTTTTTATTGTGCCCTTTTTCAATTTTCCGTCCCCTCAATTTTTCAACTCCCCGATTTTTATTTTGTATTTTCCTGATTTTTTATTTTTCATTTTCTCGATTTTATATCACAATTTTTTGTTTTTTCATTTCCTTAATTTTTCTTTTCTTTCCATTTTCCAATTTTTCGTTTATTCAATTTTTCAAATTTTCAGGCTAATCGATTCCAATTTTTCAATTTTTCAGTTTGAAGTTTTTGGGTTTCGGCCCCTTTTTTACTTTTCGGATTTTCAATTTTTCATTAAACTTTAGATTTCTCGCTTAATTTTTTTTTCAACTTTTCGATGTTTCAAGTTTTCTTTTTTAAAATTTTTCAATCTTTTTTATTTCTCGATTTATCGAATTCAGATGTTTGGATGTTTCGATTGCTGAATTTCTCAATTTTTCGATTTTCCATTTTTTCGATGTTTCGATTCTTCAGTTATCCGATTATTCAATTTTTTTAAATTCTGGAGTTTCGATTTGTTGAATTTTCAGTTTTTCGATTTTTAATTTAAGTTTTACATTTTCGAATTTTTCTTTTTTTGATTCTTTGATGTTTGAATTTTTTCATTTTTCAATTTTGCGATATTACAATTGTTCAATGTTTTAAATAAATTTTAGATTTTTCGATTTCTGGATTTTTTGATTTTCCAGTTCTCCAGTGTTTCTATTTTACAATTTTTCAAATTTTGACGTTGCTAAATTTTCAGTTTTCCGATTTTTCGATTAATATATATATATATGTTTTTTTTATTTTACCGTTTCTCGAATTCGCAGTTCCGATTTTTCAGTTGGTGTATTATTGTGGCATAATAAATGTTCCTTTGATCGATCAGGTGGCTATTGTTGGTTGCCTATATTAGACAAGCATAGTTGCATGGAAAAATGATAGGCAACTATTAAAACAAATCTAAATTGCTTGTAATCTAATAACAATCTTAAAACTTCTCAGAAATTCTCACTTCATTGATTAAAAAACAGATTTTTCTTATCCTTTGTAAAAACTAAACACGACAAGGTTTCGTTAATTTTTCGTAAATTTCTTACACTTTAACGTTTTTTAAAAATACATTTTGTGTTTTTGCAGGAAATAAATAAATACAATAAATATATTGCTTGAGATTACATATTTTCGCTTATTTTATTTAACTACTTTTTACTGATCATCTTAAAATAATTTTTTGTCGTACAACACATTCACAAAAGCTATACTTCATTCGGTACACAAAAAATGTTCACGTTGTTGACGAAGTTCACTAACTACTCGCAAGGTGGCAGTACTTACACAGGGGCTTTTGAAAACAGTAGTGCTTTAGAAAAATATATCTTTTATTGTAGAAGTGTTATATTATAAAAGATTATTTATTAATAATAATCTGAAATCCTTAAATTATTATCGATAATGTGTTTCTAAAAATGATTAAGAACTCGGTTTTTTGATATTTGAGTTCAACTAAAATTTTGAACGTATGTAAAACAAATTTTTACCATTTTTCACAAACATTTTATTAATAATAAATTAACATTATAGGTTTCAGATGTCGAATAGAACTCATTCAAATGATTTTCGTTTTTTGTGTTTTTGTCTTATATTATTAAATGGGACAATGTAAACTATTTTGCCGTCGCTTAAATTTTCAAGGTTTATTTAATAAAAGAAAACATCTGAAAACATTTTGTATTGTTTTTTTTTTCAATTTTTTATGCTAATTCAAGAATTTTACTAAAAATAATTTCTCATAATTTAATTTGTTTCCGTTGCGTACGTTTCAACTCTGAATAATACCGACGGCCAATTCTTATTCGACCTACCTTTGTTTCAGAATTTGTATACAAATCTTTTAAAAACCTTTTCGGTACATAGGTATTAAGATCCAAAAAAAGTGTACGATATAGTTACTAAAAATTAAAAATCTGTACAATTTTATATTACAGATATGTGATCTCAAAGTGAATTTTAGAAACTTGTAATACACTACACATTCCTGTTTATATATTGACACATATTGAAAGTCAGATTGTGTTATTTGTTTTTTTGTAATTATATACCTACAATTACAAGGTATGAACCAAAAACTTCTTAGTTGGAGAAATATTCTGTGAATTAAAATTATAGAGCAAACAATGTTTTATTTTTATTTTTTTTCAATTAGGTAATTATATAAATGTATATCGAAGGTATTGCTTTGAAATGTTATAGTTAGTGGATGTTGTAATAACAACTTATTTATAATGAATTCAAATTACTTCTGACCTTCTTGCTAAATTTATGAAGAAGTTATCTGGTAATTAGAGGATCGAAAAGTCAAACTATAAAAGAATTTATAGTAATTTAAATTTGATACGCTATTTTACTGATGAGGTAACACTGCGTAATCTTTGAGAACTCATTCGTTTATATTATTATTTATATTTTGAATATTTTCTAGATTCCCATTTGTATATTCGCCATGTTCTGTTTCTACTTTTGAGGCACTGTTTTCTCACATTCTGTCTTTATATTTTCTGTTTCTATTGTAATAGATTTCACTTTACACTTTCTTTCCTAAGAAGTATTCATATTTCTTTCAAATTAAAAAAACAAGAACAGTAGGTATAATAACACAATTTTTCAAATAGAGAAATTTTGGATTTTCCAGTTTTTCTTTTCTAAAATTTTTCGATTTTTCAATCTTTTGATTTCCCGATTTATCGAATTAAGATGTTTCGATGTTTCCAATGTTCAATGTCTCGATTCATCAAATTCTCAATTTTTAACTATTCCTTCGATGTTTCGATTTTTGGGGTTCTCGGTTTTTCGATTTTTTACGTTTGGGCTTTTCAATTTTTCGATTTTCCTGTTTTTCGATGTTTCGTTTTTTCAATTTTTCAATTTTTTAAATCTGAGGTTTCGATTTCTCTATTTAATAATGATGGGTTTATAATAATAATAATATTTGTCGATTTATCAGTTTTTCTATCTTTAAATTTTAGATTTTCGAATTTTTGTTTTTTGATTTTTTCATGTTTGGATTTCTCGTTTTAGATTTTTCAGTTTCTAGATTTTTTGATTTTGCAGTTTTTCAGTATTTCTGTTTTCCAATTTTGCAAATTTTGACGGTCCTAAATATTCAGTTTTCCGATTTCTGAATTAATCTATTTTTGATTTTCCCATTTCTCGACTTGTCAAGCTTTTTATTTTTCAGTTCTTAAATTCTTCAATTTTTCGACTTCGCTTTTTTGGTTTCTCGATTTCTCAATTTTCCAATTTTTTAATTTCTCAATTTTTGGATATTTCTTTCAGTTTTGTGATTTCCCAATATTTCGATTCTTCGACTTTTACATTTTTCAATTTTCCGAGTTTTTAAATTTTCGATTTTTCAATTTTTTGAATATTCGATTTGTCGAGATTCGGATGTTTCAATCTCTCGATTTATCGATTTTTCCATTTTTAACTTTTCGATTTTTCGTTTTTGACCTAAATAAATTAAAAAATGGAAAATTTTAAAATTCCGAAAATT